ACTATAAATTTCGGCATTATGAAATGCTACTTCGTGGTATTGCAGTGTTAATAAATAATAACTTGGGATTCACCAGAATCATAAAGGCATCGCTCCTTTCCCATCCTCAAATGCAAAACAATGTAAGATTAGAGCCAAGTCAGAGAGAAATAATGGCACCTTATCTTCTGATCCAGAACCAGATTCCTGGAAGCATCCTTCTCCATTATTCTCTTGTAATATCGTGTAAATGGAGCATTAGCACTGGACTTTTCCGAACTGCATGCCAACCATTTATGAAGTTCGGGAAATTCCGGTCATTATAGCTCTAGATAACTTAGGTATAATTTAAATGAAGAATACAAAACTGCACAAACGATTCAACAGATTGGTGATCTTTGGGTAAAAATGCCACCTCATCTCTTTTCCTCTGTACAAATTCAATGTCCAGCTCCACCTACAACACCAGAAAAAAAATAAAAATTTTATGATTCTTTTTCCTCTTTTCCATTTTATTTTTCTTTTTCAAAGCTGGTTGTGCAATTCTTTTTTTCTTTTTCAAAAGTATCCGTTTGCCAGTACACTGCATAATGAAACATCTTACTTACTATCAATCAATATTTTTAAGTATACTATAGTTGAGTGCCAAAATCATCATAACATGATTTAAAAGGCAGCATTTTTATTTTATTTTTTCAGGGAGGAGGGGTTTGCTAATAAGGCAGATCTGGTTCAACAAAAAACATCTATGAACTTCATAAAAATCCGTACCTGATCGATAAATCGCTTCACCACATGACAGAAATTCTCAATGGTTGTCATTTCATGAAACTTCCTTAGGCGGATGAGGGGAATGGTAGCCAGTTCAGGAAAAGTTATGTGATAGCTCCACCAAGCAAAATGCATTGCAAGTAATTCAATGACAAAAGAAACACTGTTTCTGGAAGTTTTGAGATTTTAACCAATGTTTTGGCAACTGCACCATGAACATCCACATTAGTTATAGCGGAAATGCATGGATCTTGTGGCCAAGGGCCGAGAGATATTTCAATTCATAGTAATAATGATGACGAATCTCTAACCTTCAAAATTGAAGAGAAGTTGAAATCTTTTCCAGGTTTTTCATTTCCCTTTCAGTTTTATATTCCAAATTTTCCAAAGCAAATGCTGCAACAGGAATGAAAACCCACTTGCACTAGAAAGATTATTCAATCATTGAATGCATGTAAGTCTTAAGAGGCAAATATCTTCGTTCAGGAAACAAGACAGCTACTCCATTGATAATCTGAATGATCATGTATAACAATGGCTGAAGATCATAATCTTGTATGTTTGCTGATATAAATGAAACCCAGAGATCAATGCAGTTTGTATACTGCCAACTGGATATTCTTTTGACTGCTTCCTGCTTACAAGCAATAACAAACAAGCACCATCAAAACATGGCCTTGCATAAAAACATCAAAGTCATAATGAACTACATATATCCATAGGCATCTAATTTAACGAGCAAAGAATGCCCAATCCAGTCTGATCGAGTTAAATAAGACACCAAAGGCATCTGCATCACCTAACTTCTTCTTTGTTTGTAGACCAGTTTGCAGTGTCTTAGAAAGTTGCTCAACACAAACCATTGTCTTTCTAGATGAGTTTTGCACATCTTGAGAGCATAGCTCAATAAAGGAGCTGTGGAGAAATTGTTTATGTTTGGATGAAACTGGATCGACAAATTGGCAGTTACCAACAGAGGCCTTATATGTTTCAATCAAGCATGAGTTGAAGCAATCTGAGCTAAACACAGAAGCCACATCTTTTATGACCAGGAAAGAATGTGAGGCAAGAGTCCCTTCACCTGTTACCCACAAATGAACTGCAACCTGAAATCAATTTGAAGAGTTATTGCTGAGTGGAAAAAAAAAATTAAGAGTTATTTCTGCGGCAACAAGGTATGAGATAAAAAAAAAAGAAAGTAAGACAGAATCCTTATGAGAAAAGATATGGATACAGCTAGCGTTCAAGATTCATCATCCTCTTGTATTCTCCTAATCCCCAGCGGGCATACATTAGTAATTAAAACATGTGGGTGGGCATAATGATGGAAACATATAACCCTATGGCTGACTGTAAAGTACACACACAATATCAAGACAATATTGAACTTTCCTTCATCATATCCTCAAAATTAATTACTATCATAAAACTGCCTATAACATAGATGATTTGAAGTGTCATAGTCAGGCAGAGATCAATAATACTTTATCAAATCTGTGTCAAGCAATGGACGGAAAAGCGCAAAACATGATTATAGAGGCCTCCTGAGGTGCGAGCCAAGGAGAAGGGCAAGTATTCTCAGACTCAATAACGTTTGATTGAGGAGGCAGATAGTGACTTCTCAAAATAAAGACTTGATGCAGTGGCTCTCATTAGTTTTCCATTTTAGAAAGTATTCATTCAACTCCAAAATGGTCTCCTTTGTGCAACTAGAACTGATATTCCTAGCATTCCTCGAAAATATTATCAGCCTCCTGAAGCATGAAGATTAAAATCTTGGAAAAAGTTTTGCTATCTTGAAGTCCACAACATGAATCAACATCAAGAAGATCATGGTTCAGTTCCATAATGGCATGTGGCTCAACACCCATTTAATAAACTAGTAAGTGCAGATATACTCTGCTGCTCTCTGACTAGTTGGCAGAAAAAAAATTAAGGGCAGAGCTAGTCAACAACTTGTCCTTTCTTAAATTTACAGTGCCCTTCTGGGGTTCTGTGAGCCATCATCACTAGTATTGTCCTCATCTGTATACTGTTACAAAGAATAATACCAAAAAGTTTACAAAGGCACAGCCATCAAATGGACAAAATAAGGGCAAAAGGAGGAATCAAAGAATTCCACTACTTATTTTTCCTTCTTTTTCTGAAATACTAGTGAATGATCATGAGTTTATAATTCTTTGATAGTTTTTAGCATATAACATTAATATCTCAGAAAAAAAGAAAGAACAAGACATAACCACAATATGCCAATAAATTCCCTTTTTCCGCATATATCTGAGTATCTAACCTTCATGGTATGATTTTCTATTTGGTTTTAATCTGCACTAAGCAAAGTTGAAATAATAATTATATGTGTTTCTTTCACCCCACTAGACTTGCAATTTTGTAAACTTTGGATGCAGAAAAATTGATCAAAGGTAAAA